GGGTGGAGGACGGACCGGCCAAACACCCGAGAACACTTATAAAGAAACAAGTAATTTATCCTTTTCTACATTTAGCTCGGCTTGTGCACAGCAGGGCTAAATGTAGAAAGTAAATTACCGTCCGGCGCCCGGAACTCTATGTTCCCGGGTGTCGGGTGATTCAAAACTGTGCCGCCCCTCTGCTCAGTGCCGCCCCGGGAATCCGGCCCTGAAAGCACACTGGGAATTCCAGGAAGTTGCTGGAAGTGATGGGCAGACGGAAGACAGCGCTCATTACATAAAATGGATTTGTTCCAGTAAGCTTTGGGTGTATTATCAGAGACAACTCTACTATGTATTCCTATTGCAATGCCGATGTCATAACAGGAGAGGATATGCTGGGACTTCACGTGCCATATATGCCTACCCATATCCTCTGCTCTTAAGACAGAAGCAACTTGGACATTCCCGGAATCCACCCAGAATCATCCGGTATCCATCCACCCAGAACCATTCACTTTACAGAGCACTGGTTCGGCCTCATTTAGGCCTTCTTAAACTTTCTCCACTTGTGACCCCTTTTTGGCCGAGGAAATTTTTAGGGGACCCCAGCGTCAGACGGTGTCTCTCCCCTCTTTCCCTCAACGTCGGTGTTCCCCCCCTCCCCTAGCGTCAGTCGGTGTCTCTCTCCTCCTCTCCCCCCCCCGCCGCCGTGGACGGACAGTCAGTGTGTCATTACTACCTACTACTAACCCCCCTCTCCCTTCTTATCTTTACCTCCAGCAGCTGTGCTCCACTTCTGCTGGGTTAAAGGGGAAGCTCCGTCAATGTAAAAAAAATAAAGCTTCCTGCATGCACATGCTCAGGAAGGTACCAAGTGCACAGATGTGGGGGGTATGCGACCTTAAAAACGACACTACACTGCACATTAAACGAAAACAAAAAAAAAATCTTGCTTGGAGCCCAGGCCTCCCCGGCCGCCTGGGCCCCTCACACAAGTACCGGCTGTACCCCCCTGATGGCGGTCCTGGCCGGGGACTCAGATTGCGACCCCCCTGTTCACTTGTGGGACCCCATATGGGGTCGCGACCCACACTTTAAGAAGCACTGATCTAGAGTATGCGGTGCAGTTTTGGGCACCAGTCCACAGAAAGGATGTCCTGGAGCAGGAGAAAGTCCAGCGGAGGGCAACTAAACTCATTAAGGTTATGCAGGACCTAAGCTATGAGACAAGGTCACTAAATTTAAACATGTTCACGCCGGAGGTGCGGAGATTAAGGGGGGACATGATTTTCATGTACAAGATGTTCAACGGTGATAGTAACATCATCAACAAACTCTTTACGGTTAACCCCATAACAAGGACCAGAGGCCACCACCTAAAATGGGAGAAAACATTCCAGCACAAGGGGCGGAGGGGGTTCTTCTCAGTCAGAGCGGTCAGGGCCTGGAACTCGCTGCCGCATGCTGTGATTTCAGCTAAGAGTGTGGAATCGTTCAAAAAGCTTAGAGACCGTAACATACAGGGGTACAGGAACTATTAAGAACAAGATCACACGGGGACTCATACACACGCACACACCAGCAGAATCACATACATACACGCAATAGGTTGGACTTGATGGACCTTTGTCTTTATTCAACCTCAAATACTATGTAACCTTAATGTGAAATGGTGGCTTGGTGGGTAAGAGTTCTGGTGGTTAGAATAGAAAAAAAACTTACTGTTTCCTTTCCAGAACTCATCTGCTAGTTCACCCAGAGCGACCAAAATCCTCTGATTATCATTCATAAAAGAACCTGAAAGAAAAACAATATTAACATGTCAGCCAATGGGGGGGTGGGGGCGGGTTGAGGCAGTGGCGGAACTACCAGGGTCGCAGAGGACCGGGCCCTGGAGTTCCGCCATTTGGAGGGGGCCCAGGACAGGAGGAAAGGGGCCCCTGGTAACCGCTAATATCAGT